ATTTTTTTTTTTTATGCTTATTTTATATCGCTTCGAGTCTGATGAGACTATATGGCGATTGATCAAGACTTTAAAAATGGTTAGATCTCACCATTCTACCCGGCCAGGAATCGAACCTGGAACCTATCCGTTGTGAGGCAACGGCCTTAACCACTACGCCAGGCCACCGGGCTGCGGACACAATGATTCTGATCTGATCATACTTGATGAACCTGTGACCATTAGCCTGGAATCTCATAACCCCTCTTGCTCTGGGACATTACCAACACTCTCTGCCAAGGTAAAATTACTGTAATTGACTATTTTCTTCACTCATGAGCATTATGTAATCATTATTGACATGTTACTTTAGGATTGGTTGACCAGAGACAATGCCGACATCATTCCGAATCGAGGAGAGATCCTTCGTGTTCAAGATTTGATCACGTTACTAGGGTTTAATTGGCTCAATGACGTTGTAAGTATATGGAGTCCACCCATAAAGAACAAAATTTCTATAACGTGTTTTTATTGTTACAGATCATAAATAAATATCTGAACCTTATCGTGGAGAGGAGTGGAGGCTCCGTATATGCATTCAGCACTTTCTTTTATAATAGACTTGTGGAGTCCTACAGTAATGTCAGCAGATGGACGAAAAATGTAGGTTGTTACTTTATGGGCCAATTAATATCGGATGTCATACGTCTGATACTTACTTCGTCTGTTTTTCATCTCAGGTGGACATTTGCAGCAAGGAATTGTTATTAATACCGATACTACAGAATCACCACTGGTATCTTTGTGTGGTTCGGCTGAAAGGGAAACGAATTGAGTGTTACGATAGCCTGGGTGGCTCGCATACTTCGCAGAGGGAAGTAAGTTCATCGTGGTCAATGTTATTTTTAGAACACGTAGTGAAAAAATTCACTACAAATACGTAGCGTTCTTTTTGAGACCTTCTATGGAATATCTATACCAAGTCTTTAATAATTCTATCGCAGTTCTATGTAATAATCATAGTTCCTTTTTCACGCGGATATTGACTATTATATTTTGTATTATACAATGGTCAATAGATTTGCGTCCATGTATGGCAATTATTAGCTGGACATTTCGATTCTAATAATTATTGGGCATTTCCTATTTTTTTCGGATGAATTACAACAAAAGACACTTTTGAAAACCCTAAAAAAATTTCTTGAATAGTTTTTTGAAACAAACAACGTACATAATAATTCATACAGTCAATCTCAATCCATTACACTTGTATTTATAGTATGTATATTGAGGAATCATCTAGAAAAGTTATGAGATAATTGAATCTGGTAATAAGTATAATTTTTCATTTGTCCTTCTCTCACTCAGAGTGGGCAATGATAGATGTTGATGTAAGTATTGTTTGTCTTAATTAATGTTTTGGTGCGGGAATAACTAGCCATAACGTTCATTCATCAAAAATACTAATCAACAGAACATTCCTCTTCAAAACAATGGCTGGGATTGTGGGATTTTCGCCTGCTCATACGCTGAGCACTTAACAAGACAAGCACCTTTCACCTTCACCATTGACGATATGCCGAAAATTCGAGAAAGAATGATGGATGAAATTGTTTCATCACATTTAACAGGTCCCCCACCTGAAGCTTCACTCCCACCACTTGTTGCTAGAGGCGATAATGTTCCAGAACGTCCAGCCCCCTTGGTGAGTCCAGTTGTTTTACCATCGAAAAGCCTGCACTTATAGAATTAATTGATTCTCCATAACTTAAGCCCTTTTTATTTCACCCTCAACGACGTCGGGATATTCTGATTATTCTATTGGTCAACTGAGTTGCAGTTTTATGAACTTCGGATCCTTATCATGGTTCTACTTGTCTGCAATATTCATCATTCAAATCGTCTCTCCCAGTAGATACTTGGAATCACCACCTATACTATGAGAACGGAATTAGGAATTCAGTTAAATGCTCATTCTTAAATCATTGACCTATGAAAATTAAAGTTTCGATTGTCATTATCTGACCCACGAAAGATTAATAAAGGGGCTTCTTCATCATTTGGCATCTTAAATTTGATGGGTCAATAACTATCTCCCTTCAAAAATCTCACGAATTCTTGATATGACATTTGTGCGGTACCGATTTATGAGCGAACCATTTTGTTTTCAATTGTTTCCCATCATTGCTTCCAGAATAAACAGGCTTGGCTGCTGACTGACAAAAAGAAGGTCAACGAAGTTGTCGTTACAGGCATCGATCGTGTCCTGCTTCACCAATCAGCGAGATTTCATCAAGGTGATAAAAGGTTCCCCTGCCAACGAAGGAATGCACATTGCTCAGCGATTTCGGCTGTTGCTATTGTAGCATTACAACTTTCCGATAAGGATGTTACCCGAGACCTCCTGGATCAAATCTTGATCGATGGGGACCGGTATTACGTTGACTGCAAATCACAGGATCAGGGATCAGATGTTTATATGTGTCCTGACGAACTTCTACCCGATGTCACTGCTTGTGGTCACCAAGTGAAAATCACGGTCGAGGCGATAACAGAAGGGTTTTACTCGTCAGGGAAGGTCCCA